GCAGCAAATTGATGGGTAGGAAGAAGAAAGGGAGGATTAGGAAGGCGTCTTCTTCTGGGAACACTAACATGTTGGGTGTGACAACTAGTAAACAGGTTGTGAACAACGCGACTAGGATGAATGATCAAGTCCATATGGCGATTGCTAGGTTTCTGCTTGATGCCGGGATTCCCTTTGAAGCTGTAAAATCCTCTTATTTCCAACCTATGATTGATGTGATTGCTTCCCAAGAAGTGGGGATAACAGGGCCCTCTTACCATGAATTGAGAAGTTGGATTTTGAAAAACTCAATTCAAGAGCTAAGGAATGAAATTGACCAATGCTCAGGCAGCTGGGTAAGAAATGGGTGTTCTATTTTGGTTGATGAATGGACAACAGAGAAGGGTAAATCATTGATAAAGTTTTCAGTGTATTGTCCGGAAGGGACAATGTTCTTGAGGTCGGTGGATGTATCCGAAATTGTAAATTCTGGTGATGCTCTTTATGAATTGCTTAAGGAGGTGGTGGAAGAAGTAGGCGCTAGAAATGTGTTGCAAGTAATCACTAGCAGTGAAGAGCGATATATTGATGCTGGGAGAAGACTAACCGATGCTTACCCTACGGTTTTCTGGACTCCTTGTGCTGCTCAGTGCATAGATATGATGCTCGAGGACATCAAAAAGCTGGAGTGGGTAAATGCAACCCTCGGGCAAGCCAAAGCGATATCAAGATTTATGTATAATAACAATAGCGTTTTGAATCTGATGCGGAGGCATACTTATGGAGTGGATTTAGTTGAGCTGGGGGTTACGGTCTCAGCAACTGACTTTTTGACATTAAAAAGAATGGTAAATATTAAACACAATTTGCATTCCATGGTTACTTCAGAGGAGTGGATGGAGAGTCCATATTCAAAGAAAGCGGAGGGGTATGCAGTGCTAGATTTGATAAGCAGTCAGTCATTTTGGTCGAGTTGCAGCTTGATAACCCATTTGACAGACCCCCTGTTGCGCCTTTTGTGCATAGTTTGTAGCGAGAAGAGGTCTGGCATGGGATATGTTTACGCAGGCCTCTACCGAGCAAAAGAAATAATTAAGAAAGAACTTGGCGACAAGAATGACTACTCGGTTTACTGGAATATTATAGACCACCGGTGGCATCTACTTCAACGCCATCCTCTTCATGCCGCGGGCTTTTACCTAAATCCCAGGTTCTTTTATAGCACCGAGGAAGATGTACACCTTCATTTAAGGTCACTGGTGTATGATTGCATCGAGAGATTGGTTCCTGATCCCAAAATTCAGGACAGGATTGTGAAAGAAACTAGTTGTTACAAAAATGCTGCTGGAGATTTTGGGCGGAAGATGGCAGTTCGAGCTAGAGAAACTCTACTTCCTGGTCAGTTTCCTTTTTGCTTTATCTAGATTCATTAGATGATGCTGCACATAACCACTTGTTGTCAATTACCATCTTTCATACTGCATAAAACCGCATTCTTTCCAACATTTTTTTCCTTACGCTTAGATTTATAGCAGAAGCTGCAAAGATCAAAGTTGAGTATCTTAGTAACCACAAGGTTACAGGTTCGACTTCCAGTATCTTGAGTATTTTTTCCTTAGCTTGTTGGTTTAACTCCTTGTGGTCCTTTGCCCTCGAGTAGTGGTAGTGTAATAATGCATGAACATTCATTGCAAGACATTGGTTGTTATTGTGAGTGAATCTTGGTCTTCAATGTTCAAACTAGTAGCAATTAAATTATATTGCAGGTGAGTGGTGGGCAACATATGGCGGGGGGTGCCCGAATTTGTCTCGTTTGGCTATACGCATTCTAAGTCAAACGTGCGGTTTGATGAGCAGCATGAAGGCAAATCACGTTTGTTTGGAGCAGATGCATGAAACGAGCAACTGCTTAGAGCATCGAAGGCTCAAGGACATTGTTTTTGTGCAGTCCAATTTACGGTTGAGGCAAACACCACTTCACCTTCACCTTGTTATAATAACACACACAAGTTACAAGTTTGGAGAGGAAGAAGATTGTAACCTTGCGAGTTTTTTCTGTAATTTCCAGGGAACAGAAGAACAGAGAGCAGGGGCCCGTAGACCCCATTTCATATGAAAACATAGAGCTGGTTAAAGACTGGGTTTCAGAGAAGGAGCTATGCTCAGAGGAACCCGCGAGTTCAGACTGGATGGCCGTCGATCCACCTTTAGGCAACACACTTCTCTTTGCACCTGCACTCGACGATTTTGAAGCACTCGGTGCAGGTAATTCATAATTGCCCATTTCTTTTCACATTAACTTCATGCACAACTTCTCTTCAATCCCTGCTATTAACTTCATCTGCAATTTGCAGGGTTTGGTGATTATGAAATTTTTGATGGGGTCAAAGATATCAAAGATGAAAATGGGGAGGATACCTCATAAACCACACTACAATGCTCAAACACAAAATACTAACCACAAAACAATCTCTCTCTCTCTCTGTTGTATCCCCCCACTGCTTATGCCACAAAATATAATGAAATATGAAGAGATTGGTGACTGCTTGTATTTTGAAATATCACAACTAGAGACTTCTTGCATTATTTTCATTTCATTTACTACTTTGCTAATTAGGGTTAGTGTTTCCGCGTTTAATGAAACTCTTACAGGTTACTATTTCCCCGTTCAATGAAACGTTTCCTCCTATAAATTTACCTAAACTTTATAAAACGTTTCAGAGTCGTTTCTATAATTTTAAAAGATTTAATTTATTTTTTTCTAAAAGAAAACTAGTAAACAATTATTCCTAATTTTTATACATATATAAAGAAAAAATATTTGAAAATACACACTTATATTTTTTATATTTGTACTTTTCCTACACATTACGGGTCCGTTTACTAACAGAAAACTGTTCTCTATTTTTCAGTTTTCACCTAAAATTAATTTAGATAATATTAATATTTTTTGAGCTAATATTTAAAATATTTTTTTTTTGATATATTCATTTGAATGACATGTATATGAATATATAACTTTTACTTTGAATTCTAATATATGTGAGATTTCAATAACCGATATCTGAACCGAACTTGTATTATGATGTAACATAATTAAAAATATTTGAACTAATAATCTATTGGGTTTAATCAAAATCTAAAACATTATATAGAGTTTAATTCTTAATTTTGATAAGAGTTAATACCTAAAATCGTCCTCGACTATAGTGGTTTTTTTCAATTTCGTCCTAAACGACTTTGGTGACCTAATATCGTCCCAGACTTTTGTGTTTCGCTCAATTTAGTCCCAGACTTTTGTGTTTTTGCTCAATTTAGTCCCTCATTTGTTATTCTGTCCATTTGGTGTTAAATAAATAGACAATTCAGTAATTTTAATATTGGCATCTCTTTACTCATAGACATGTGAACTGCGAAATCTTTTTTTTTTTTTTTTTTTTTTTTTTTTTTTTTTTTTTTTACAAATTACTCCCGGAATTACTCCTAAAACTGCGAATATAAAATTTGATTTGCAGGTCCGGGAGTAATTCTGGGTGTAATTCGTAAAGAAAGAGGAATTTCACACTTCACAAATTGAAAGTAAAGAGAGATCAATATTGACATTACTGAATTGTCCCTTTATTTAACACCAATTTGACGGAATAACAAATGGAGGACTAAATTGAACGAAACACTAAAGTCTGGGACGATATTAGGTCACCAAAGTCATTTAGGACGAAATTGAGAAAAACCACTATAGTCGAGGACGATTTTGGGTATTAACTCATTTTAATAATGTAAATAATGTCTAACTTTAACACGGCGTTTGGTTGGAGGGATTTTAAATTCCCTTCCCACTTAATTCCCACCTAATTCCAAAGGCCATTAAATTTCGTAGTTTGGTTGGAGGGAATTGCAATTCCCCCATTTTCATGGAATTAAAATCCCATGTCCCCCTGGTATTTTAATTCCTGGGAAAAAAAGATAGTGATGAGTCAAAATTACCCCTTCATTTTTTAACCTAAAATTAATGTCTAACAACAATAATGGACATTTTTGACTTTATACTACTTATTCCTTTCAATTCCCATGTATACCAAACATTGGAATTGAAATTCCCAGTAATTCTATTCCTGTCAACCAAACACTGGAATTTAAATTCTCACTTTATTCCCTGTAATTCAACTCCCATGGAATTACAATTCCTTTCCCACATAATTCCCCCCCTCCAACCATTTACAAACGGCCTGTAAAGTGTAAGCAAATAAATTATGTTTAAATAAGTAAAGTAAGTAGAAAAGATGGAAGATAGTGATAAGTAAAATAAGATAATAATGAATGTAATCATAGTAATGTGGGTATAGTGACATATAACTAAATAGATGATAGATGGTTCTATTTTCCATTTCGAAAACAATTTTTTAGTGTGTTTCAGTTTTCCAGAAATTTTCAGAAATTATTTTCAATTTTCAAAATGGAAAACTGTTTAGTAAACATGTTTTCTGTTTTCTATTTTCCCGTTTCCAAGAATTTTCAGAAATTTCTAGTTAGTAAACAGCCCCTCATATCCTACATTTCCCATTTGCCTGTTTTTGTGCAACCTAGATGTAAACAAAAGGAATATCCTATATTTCTAAAAGAAAAATTATTTGAAAATACACCTCTATTAAAGAGGTAAACGAGTTAAGCTCGATAAATAATAGGTAGATTTGAGTCGAGCTTTGACTGAGTAGCTTGTGAGCCGCTCGACAATATATATATATATATATATATATATATATATATATATATATATAAACTCGTGAGCGACTCGATAAGCCATGAACCTAAAACATTTGAGCTCGAACTCGGCTCGATTACGAAACAAAAATACTCGAGCTCGAGATTGACGAGCCACTCAACTCATTTACAACGCTAACTTCTATATATTTTTTTATACTTGTACTTTTCTCACACATTTTATATTCCATATTTCTTTGTTTTTCATTTTCGTGCAACCTATGTGCAAACAAATGAAATGTCTTTTTTTTTTTTTTAAAGAAAAAAATATTTGAAAAAACACATTTATATTTTTTCCGCGTGTTTTGTATCCTGCATTTTCTCGTTTCCTGTTTTCGTGCAACCGGAAGGAATATCCTATTCTTTAAAAAAAAATTGAAAATTTCTTGATTCTGTGCAACATTGGTGCAACAAAAGGGAATATCCTATATTTTGTTTTTTAAAACTGAGAGAGAAGGGATGATGATTCCAATATTTCTGCATTTACAAGCCAAAATCCATAATCTACAATGGGGTTGAAGAATAAAATGCAGAAAATAGAAGGTATCAAGGAGCAGGTGAAATTGCAACCTCAGATGACCATGTGTTCTCATAGAAAGAAGAAGGTGGATAAGATGACAGAAAGTCACCAAACTCCATGCCACCATTGCCATCTTTCTTCCCATATTCATTTGGGGACTCCACACTCTCTGGCAGGGCTGCATCCCCTTCTAAGTATCTCATCACCTGCCTCATTGTAGGCCTCTTCTCCGGGTCACTGTTGGAGCACACGAGCCCGAGTTTTAGCAGGATCACACCTTCAACTTCGTCGTATCCACCCTTCAGCCTCGGGTCAACAACTTCAAGAATTGCGCCTTGCTGCCACTTATCCCACACCCATTCCACCAGGATCAGCTCCTCTGGCAGGGCTTTCTGCTCGATAGGCCGCCTCCCACACACGATTTCCAGGACTAGTGCCCCAAAGGCGAACACGTCTGAGCTCGTGCTAGGCTTCCCGGTCTTGGTCAGCTCGGGGGCTAGGTATCCCAATGTGCCCACGACCCTCGTAGTGCCTGGGTTTTCGCCTCGTTCGTATAGCTTGGCCAGCCCGAAATCTCCAAGCTTGCCATTCATCTCTGAGTCTAACAGCACATTCCCTGCTTTTACATCTCTGTGGATCACAGTCTGCTCCCACTCTTCATGCAAATACAGCAGCCCAGAAGCTACCCCTTTGATGATCTTGAGCCTTTGCTCCCATGTCAAAACCGCCTTAGGCTCATCGAAAAGATACTTATCCAAGCTCCCATTAGGCATGAAATCGTAAACAAGCAAAAGATCGCCCCTTCGTCGACACCATCCAAGCAACTGCACTAGATTTCTATGCCTAAGCCTGCCAATACTAGCAATCTCCGACACGAATTCTCTTAAACCTTGCTTCGCATCATGGTTAATTCTCTTGACAGCAACTTCAGTTCTGGATTTAGGCAAAGTCCCTTTATACACCTTCCCAAATCCACCAAACCCAAGCAGCTCTTTGTCCCTGAACCCTTTTGTTGCTTTCTTGAGCTCCTCATATTTGAACCTATGAGGGCCTACTTCAAGCTCCCAAGGCTCAATCACATCCAAGTTCTTGAGCCTAAAGATTGTGTACACAACAATGCAAGCAATGACTACAAGAAAAGTCACAGAAGACAAGGATGTGGCCAAAATCATGGGCATATGAGTCTTAGGGGGAGCAGGGAGAGAGGGCAGTGAAGATAGATCTAAGGATTGAGCTTGGCCATTCATCTTGAAGCTCCATCCATAGATATAATGAGCGCTAGCAAGCACACCAGTTGAAGCAGAGAAGCCCACAAACATATTCTCCTCTAGAATTGGTGAGAGGTCTGCCTGGAATGAGAGGACTGAGAAATCTGGCTTTGTGGAGGAGAGTGAAAGTGTGACATTCAATTCATTCTTGGAGGAATCATAGTCAACCCAAGCCTGAATTGTGTTGCCACACTGCAGAAAGATGTTCTCCTTTGTTGGATTTTCCTCCCCATCAGGGAAAAAGCTGGCATTTGCTGAGGCATTTGAGACCATGCTGTTGATATCAACCCCAACATGGTTATCACTGATATCCCCAAACTCAAAATCTTGAACCGTGTCGAACTCAACCGCCAGCAAATGGTTGGAGAAATTCCCAAAATCAGTGGCGTTCAGAAGCCCCAAATACTGGCTTGGGAGCACCCCTTTAAGCTCCCTGCTTCTTGAAATCACAAACGCAAAACCATGCCCCCCAAGCTTCTCAAACTGGGGAACAATCCCAAAAGCAAAAGCAGTAGAAAAGCTGAAAGCTTTTCCACTATTTGGGTTCTTGAAATTGATGGGGTTTGAATAGAAGGCGTGGCCGAATCGCCTGGCCGTGGTGTTGGTGAGCTTCAGAATGCCATTCTTCTCGATCTCAGCAGCCCCATCTAGAGTCATGTTCGCCCTGGCGGCGTCACCTCCAAACCCACTGAAAATAAACCCATCATTCCCCATCGAGAAAGCGTTTCTTGCAACCCAATAGAGCAGACAGACAAAGATTAACAGTCTCTTCGCCATGGCTACCGAGCAGAGATAGATGTGTTGGTGGCTAGAATTTGTGAAGCTAGATTAATGGATGGTTTTAACTTTTGAAACCTGTGAGCGACGAAGAAGAGAGGAAGAAGGGGAGAAAAGCAGGGCGGCGTTTCGATCTTTAACCAACCCCGGCAGGGTGAAAGTGAGAGTATATTGTGCGATTTTCACGTGTAGCAAGACACAGATTGTCGTTGGAAGTCAAATGCTGACAAATTAAAGACCAATTATTACCGCAATACAGGCAAGATATTACATGTACTTCGTATTTTCATTATGCGCCTTACGTTAATTAAAGACAGATATCGATAATCTCAATGATAATGATAATAAATGTGAATTTTAAATAAGATGAGACTAGTTTTTTTTTTTTTTTTTTTTTTTTTTTGGGTGGAAAAGCCTTTGTTGTAATTGAAAAAGAAAATGAGATTAGTAGGTGATAGATATTGATAATTTCGATGGTCACGTTAAATGCACGTTCAAAAAAGATGAGACTAATAGGTAAATGAGACTAGTAGGTGATAGATATTATTAATCTTAATGCATGTGTTAAATGTGAGTTGAAATAGAATGAGGCTGGTAGCTGTGTCATTACGTTAAAGTTAAACCTTAAATGAAATGTAGCATTAAAAAAAAAAAAAGCATTCAAGTGGAATGATAGCGTAAAGAGTGTTAAGAGTTTTGATGCTAATTGTAAACAGTTGTGAGAGTTTGCATTTGAGGTTGGAATAGATATAATGAGTTCGTAGCCTTAGAAATTAGAAAGATAGATATCAATAACCTCAATGGTCACGTTACGTGAGTTTAAATAAAATGAGACTGGTAGATGATAGATATTGATAATCTTGATGATCACATTAAATGTGAGTTCAAATAAGATGAGACTGGTAGGTGATAGATATTAGTAATCTCAATGGTCATATTAAATGTGAGTTCAAATAAGACGAAACTAGTATGCGTGTAATTATGTTAAAGGCGTACCTAGCATGGAATGTAGCATAAAATGTCATCCAAGTGGGACGGTAGCGAAAGAGTGTTGAGAGATTCAATATATACTAATTGTAAACACTTATGGGAGTTTGCAGTTGAGGTTGGAAAGTGACTCTAAGGTGGCAATGAGAAAAACTTTTCATTATCACTTACTTGAAGGAATTTGAGAAGTTTTAAAATGGGATTAGAGGTGTTCTAAGTAGTATATTCATAGGGAAGCAAATTAGCTCCTATGCAAATTGGATTACAATATACTTTGCTAGTTTATAATTTGGTTTATTTAGTACTAATATGCTAATTTAATTAAGCTACTTACAGCAAATCTTGTCGATGAGGTTTGTTAACCTATTTTATGTAGTTTGTCTTTTGCGTCACATTAAACGTGAGGTTCTAATAAGATGAGTGAGGTAGGTGTATCTTTACGTTAAAGATAACATGGAATGTAATATAAAAAGTAAGTCACGTGGAGTAACTGCACAAAAAGTGCTCAGAGATCAAGCTATTAATTATGTGAGTTTGCATGTAAGGTTAGCACAGAGAATGAGTTTGTTACATTAGAAAGTGATTCTAAAGTGGAAATGAGAAATTAAAACCTTATACTATCACTTATTTGAAGTAATTCGAGATATTTTAAAATGATATACAAGGTGTTCTATGTAGCATATCCACTATTAATATTATGATGTTACTATATACGGAGTAATAACTTTTGTTGTAATAATTTGCCTTAATTCTAAATTAAATGAATTCATTACAATTTCAATGTGTCTTCAATGATCTTGTTGGACTTTCACTTCTTTATTGTTTCCAAAATTCTAATCTAAATAAAATTAATGCGTATAAAACTCAAAAAAAAAAAAATGATTGTAGTTTTCTATATATACTTTTGCAACAAAAATAGTAGCAAGAGTAATCTTATAACATTTGGTTCTTTGATTTGTGAGAAAGTCTATAACCACTACTTGAATATGTATTTTGGGTAAAATATGTTTTGTGATTCTAGTATTTGATTCTGATGATTTATGAAATTAAAAGGAGACATTAGATAGATTGTACCCTTTTGACCTCAACTGTGTATTAATTATAACAAGGAATTACAACATTAAAAATAGATGAAAGTTAATGTGAAATGTAGCATAAAAAGTTATTTAAGTGGAACAAAATCGAAAAAATGTTCAAAAATTCGATACTATTTATCCTACAACAATTCATCAAAGTGAGCATCTTACTACTATCCGAATATCACATGCTTGATCCATGACACACGAAACCCGCACGTGATTGCCATTGGTGCCCTGCCCAACACCAACGACTTAGCTTACCCCTTTTAAGTCCAAACTTTCCGTTAAATAAGTTCCTTTTAACGTCCAATTTTACTTTTAATAATTGATATTTTTAACCTACAACATTATAAATTTTTAAAAATAAAATGAAGAAAATAATTATATAGCAAATAGCAATAACTTGCACCCCACTCTTACGGCGGCGGACCACCACACATGTTAGCACACAATGTTCGACACAAAAGGAATTAATTAAAGGAATATTAATAATATGTTTCTTCTTTTTAAATCTTTTAAATGTGAGTTCAAATAAGATGAGATTGGTAGATGATAGATACTAATAATTTTGATGATCAAGTTAAATGTGAGTTAAAATAAGATGAGATTAGTAGGTGATAGATATTAATAATATCAATGATCACATTAAATGTGACTTTAAATAAGTTATTATTATTAATTTAATTCGTATCATATCTTTTAATTTACAAAAAAAAAAAAAAAAAAAAAAAAAACTGTAACAACATATGCTTCATATATACATTGCGTGGTTATTTTCACAACTTACTTTCCTTAATCTATATATTATTGACATTGACCCACCATATAGTATTACTTTAAATGTATATATTATTATTGGCATTGACCCACCAAATAGTATTACTTTAAATGATATGCATTATTAAATTAAATTCATTAAAGTTGGGGTAAATACTTTCAATATTATGATAGATTTCCTAAATCTTATTTCATTTAATTTTTCATTAATTCTAAATTAAATTAATTAATGACAATTCCAATGTGTCTTCAATGATCTTGTTGGACTTTCACTTCTTTATTGTTTCCAAAATTCTAATCTAAATAAAATAAATGCTTATAAAACTCAAAAAAATTGATTTGTTTTCTTTTCTTTTGGAACAAAAATAGTGGCAAGAGTAATCTTATAACATTTGGTTATTTGATTTATAAGAAAGTCGATAACCATGCACTATTTGAATGTGTATTTTGGATGAAACATGCCTTTGGATCCTAGCTAGCATTTGGTTTGGATGATTTATTAAATAGAAAAGAGGCATTGGGTGGGGTTGTACCCTTTTGACCTCAATTATGTATTAATTACAACAAATTACAACACTACAGATGGATGAAACTTGAAAGTTAACATGGAATGTAACAAGTCATCCAAGTGGAACAACATTGAAAAAGTGTTCAATTCAAAGATTTGATGGTAGTTAAAAATTATGTAAATTTGTGTATAAAGTTGGAATAGAAAATGAATTCGTAACTTTAAAAATGTTCAAAATAGATTTTGGTTACCCTCCATAATTGATGTTAATGGCCTTTTATAGGCTTCGCATGACAGTTAATTTTCTCATCAAAAAACCTGCACCATGTGATTTGCTTCAACAAGTCATCGAAGTGAGCCTTTTACCCACATGCCCGACCCATGACACATGCAAACCTGCACAGGTGATTGCACTGCAATGTAGTGGATTGCAAAACAAACAAAAATAAACTTATTTTAGATCGTCCTCATGGATTGTGGGTTGGAATATCTAAAGAAATAACTAGGCACAAGCATGAAGTATTTGATGGAAGCTAATTAAGCAAATAGATAGATGAATCGTGACAAAATGAGCAGTAGAATAAAAGTAAGGAAATAAAGATATAGGAAAATAAATTAAACCAAGGATTGGGATGGGTATATATTGGTTCAGTGCCAGAACAAAGGATTGAGAGTTATGAAACTTCACTCTGGGTTCAAAGACTGCCAACACCAATTCGGTGTACTAACATGCTATTCTCATGATCCAATGTTAGGCTAAATCGGAATAAGGGAGTTGTTCCATTCTCGTGACGCTACTAATTCCTCTCAATAAGCTCAAGCAGTCTTGGCCTTTAACATTCCCTACCCTCGTAAGTAAACCTGAAGGTTTTGAGATATGGTCGAAGAGAAATTGGTGGTTGAGAGACGAGTCTATGGGTATGCTAACCCGTACGTGGATTCCTTGTTCGAACAATTGCCAAAAGCTCATAATAGACAAGTATTGACAATGTTGTGCACAAACTCGTCCACACAAGAGCACAAAATATCTCACAAGAACACGAACCCCGGGTTGGGTTTCAAACCCTTTTATGCAATATGCATCAAACACAATATACACCACTATCCAACCCCTATACTAAACTACTCACTCAAAATAAATATGAAAAACATAACAACATTCATAAATAACATCATCCAATAGTATATTAAGGAAATAAATAGAGAGATAATTCTTTAACAAAGTAAAGATTCACAAGATAAAAGCAATAAACACAAGAATAAAGTAGTCTAAACTAAGAATCACAAAATATAACTTGATAAAGCAATAATAAAACAATAAGGAAAGAAATAAATAACCTAGCTAATATGAAAATTTTCTCTACTGCTACTATTCACTGGGGTTGCTCTCTCTACTAAAACATGAAAAAGATCTATTTATAGGGGAATTTCAAGCTTCAAGGCACTGGTGTGCCACTGCTCGTGCAGGTACACTGGCAAGGCACCGGCACAGAGTGTCCATGCAGAAGGGAAGTCGTGCTGGTCGTTTACGCACGAGCATGCCACCGCCCATGCGTGGCTTTGCCTCCACGCTATGAACTTCATATTCAATCCTTTTGCGCGTCTTTTCCCATGATTATTTTCGTGTACTCCTTTTCATGCATTTTTGTTCTATTTTGATCCGTTTTTGCTTCACTTTCAATTTTCCTCTCTCAAAAGTGTATTTAGGCACAACTGAGCATAAAACACATCTTTTAGTTCAAAAACTCAAATAAACACTTTGAAAATAATGTAAGTGTACAATGTTAGTACACGATTAAAACCTTATATTGGCTAATTTATTTATTAAATAATTAGGCCTAGTTTAG